GTGCAAGCTCTCCAACCGCTTGGCCAGAACGATTCATAAAGGTTTGTGGTTTTACAAGAAGGATTTTTTGTCCCCCAATGCGCCCTTCACTGATCAAAGCATTATTTTTGGTTTTAAAGGAGGAAAAATTATAAAAGTCTGCGATGAGATCAATGGCCATAAAGCCAATATTATGACGATGAAGAGCATATTGTGGGCCGGGATTGCCAAGACCAACAATTATCAAAACTGTTGTTGAAGACCACATAGATACGTCCTTAACCAGCGCCTTTAAAGATTTCCTTAGTCTCTCTGTATTTTTCCTTTTTTTCTATAAAAAATTTTAGGAAAAGAGTCTGCAAAGCTTTTTTTTAAAGAAATGGGGCCTTTGTGCAATGACAGGTGCATTTTAAAAACGCTTAAAAGCACAAGTAGGCCCACATCTGAAAAGTAGAAAGATGTTATAAAAACAGCCTTATTCTTTTGATTCGCCTTCTTCAGAGCTCTCTTCCTCAGAGGATGCTTCCTCTTTAGGAGTTTCTTCTTGATCTTTCGCTCTGAGGCTGGAAGGCGCAACGATGGTTGCAAGTGTATTGTCTACATCAGGGTTTGCAAGCTTTGCCCCTTTTGGAAGTTCTAAGGCATCAACATGTAAAGAATCCCCCACATCAAGACCTGTAAGATCAAGGCTAAGATGCTCTGGAATAGAATCTGCAGGGCAGATCAAAGTAATCTCGTGCTGGACGATGTTTAGAACAGCGCCACGTTTTAACCCTGGAGAGGCGGCTTCATTTTTAAAATGAAGAGGAACAGCCACACTCACAGAACTTTTCTTGCTGACGCTCATAAAATCAACGTGCATTGGACGGTCAGAGATGGGATGAAGTTGAACATCACGTGCCAAAGCTTTTTCAGTTTTTGAGCCCACTTTGATATCTAATACCTTAGACATGAATCTTTCTTGGTGCATGCCTTTAATAATAATGCGCTCATCAATAGCCAAATGTGCAGGTTTTGCCCCTTCGCCACCATATAAAACAGCCGGGATAAATCCTTCACGACGTAGGGCACGTGCAGACCCTGTGCCAATAGAATCGCGAAGTTTTGTTTCAATAGTTGTCATCTCACTCATGATACTTCCTCTTGCCTTTTCTTGAACTTTTAATCAAACAGGCTCGATACTGATTGTTCCAAACTTATACGCTTTATAGCGTTTCCTAGCAAAGGAGCAACAGAAATCTGACGAATTATCGAAGAATCTTTGATTTTTTTCTTAAAATCAATGCTGTTTGTGACGTTTAAAGCGTCTAATTTTGCCTCACAACCCCTCTCTAAACAGGTATTTGTAAAGAGGCCGTGGGTGATATAAGCTTGCACAGACAAGGCACCCGCTTTTTTTAAGGCTTCCGTTGCTTGGAATAGTGTATTTCCAGAATCTATAATATCGTCCAGGATAATACAGTGTTGTTTTTTTACATCTCCAACAATATGCAATGCTTTTGAAACGCCTGGGGCTAAACGGCGTTTGTCAACGAC